GCAGGGCTGGGCCTGGGGTCACCCCAGCGGGGACAGCTCTGCTCTCCAGGCACCCCTACCATGTCACTGGAGATGTTCCTGCGCAGGGCCCCGGCCGTGAAGTAGGTGAAGGCGGCCGAGCTGGCGACGAACTCGGTGACAGCCAAGAGCAGCACGGGCTCGTGTGCCATGGGCGGTGTCGTGGGCAGGGGCGTGGGCAAAGCCACAGGCAGTGCCATGGGTAGTGCCACAGGCAGCACCACAGGCGGTGCTGAGGGTCCCTGCTGGTACGTGCCCACCCTGAAGATCTCTCCCTGCACAGACACACAGATGGATGTGAGGATCAGCCAGGCTTCCCTGTTCCCAAATCTGGCCCAGGGATTCCCAGGATGACATTACCTTGAGGGCAACGTCCCCATACTCCTCTGTGAAGGTTGGCGGTCCCAGCAGGGAGTGGTCGATGGCAGCAATGGTGTCCAGCTGGGTGGACACTGCAGGGACATGGAGGTGGACGGGAGGAGTCAGGCCACCAGCCCCCTCCCACAGCCTGGTTCTGGCAGGACCCAGCCCCACAGTGGGGTCCTGCAGACCCTGCTGGGCACCAGTCCTGTCCACAGCCCCCCCGGACCACCCTGCCCATCCCCAGTCCTGGGGTCCCCTCACCCACCTTTCATGTGCTTTAGGGCAGCGTCCAGCCTGTCAATGCCCCTGTGGAGCACGAGGCAGAGCTGGAAGCAGAGCAGGGTGTCAGTGAGCCCAGGGATCAGGGTCTCCAAGCCTCTCACTGAGCTGGGGGGGATGGGGACACCGACACCTCAGGGCACAGGGGCCGAGCACCCACCTGCTTGTTCAGCTGCTGCCGCAGGGTTCTCTGGAGCAGAGGGGCCAGCAGGTTGTAGAGCCAGCTGCAGGGCAGAGTGGGGTGCTCAGACCACCTCATGGCACCCACCCAGCCTCCCCAGCCCACCTCCCTGGCTGGGGCACCAGCAGTCCTTGCATGCCAGGGACAGGACAGAGCAGGGGGCTTGGCATCACCTGTACCCACGGTGAAACTCCATGTGCAGGTGGGTGCCGTGGGTGTCACAGCCGGCGCTCCAAACCGTGGGGTGGCCGCTGCCATCCTCGCTCACCCCCAGCACCGCGGCCACGGCCACGTCCTGCATGCGGAGCTCCACGGAGCCGCTGTCCTGGCTGGGGACACAGCGGTGAGCACAGGGACAGCGGGGACATGGGGCCACCCTGAGTCCTGTCCCCGTCCCCACGAGGACTCACACGGCGCCCAGCTGGGCGGCCCAGTCGGCGCTGAGCTGGACTCGGGCGCGCTGCACCGTCAGCCTCACCCCCACGTCCTCAGCAAAGTCCAGCGTGGATTCGTTCATCTGCAGTTCGTGGATGTGGATCCTGCACAACACAGGCAAGTGTGCTTGTGGCTGTGGTGCAGACAGGGATGGGGACAGGGACGGGGACGGGGACCCCACAGGTGGCTCCTACCGTGGCACAGCGTAGGTGAGAGTTCCCAGGAGCGGGGTGTTGTAGGAACCCGTCAGGTTCAGCTCGTGCTCCTTCTGCAGCATTGACTGGAGCAGCTCCAGCCCAAAGCGCCGGCCTGGGGCAAAGTGGGAATTTGGGGTGACACCAAGGAAGGGGCTGGGGTACCTGGGGTGTCAGCAGAGTGAGCAGCCAGGACCAGGATGGTGCTTCCATCCTCCATTCCCGGCAGACTTGCCATCATTCCTGGGGGAACCCCCTGGTTCCCCTCATTCCCCCTCCTTAGCAGTCTGGGCATCATCCCCCACCCCTGCCTGCTCAGGAGCACTGACTCACCGAACTCCAGTGTCCTCTGGGTCAGCCAGACCTTGATGCCAGGATTGGTGGTGGTGGCAGAGACACAGGTGGGCAGCAGCAGCAAGAGGCAGAGCCATACAGTACCTCGGGGCTGGTGCTGGGACCTGGGGGCTGGAGCACAGGACATGTCTAGGGACAGACAGCAGGTGTAGAGACCCCCTCCCTGTGCACCAGCACAGCCAGGACTTATATCGGGACAGGGAGCCCCTGGTGACATCAGCACACATGGGGACACCACAGTGCTCCGGCCACCGAAAGCCCAGCCTTGCCCAACGCGTGACTCAAAGAGGAAACCCCATCGTGGGAGCAGGGCAATGCAGGGTCCCACACCAGCCCTGCCAGCCCCCACCCTGGGGGTGCACACAGCCAGGGACACCAGCTGGGGCTCCCCACAGGGACACAGGACATGTGGGGACACACAGAGACCCGGCTGGCCAAGGCCACAAAGAGCCTCAGCTGTGCTCTGCCTGGGGAGTGGGGACAGGGACACAGTGAGCAGGTCCTGGGGCAGGGGCCTGCACCAGAGCAAACAGGGCTCAACCCATTTGCACCGGGGGGCAGCGGCTGTTCCCACTTTGGGAAGGGCTCTGGGAAGCCTGTGTACATTTCAGTGGGGATCAGGGTGTTCGGGCTGGGGAAGCAGCCCCCAAGGAAGTGATGGAAAAGCTGGGACAGTCAGAGCGAGAGCAGAACTGTGCAATCCCTTCTGAAAAACCCAGCTGTGGGGAAGGAGCCACCATCAGCAGGACCATCCCCCAGCCAGGGTGAGCCCCTCCAGAGCCGTGGGCTATGGATGACAGGGGTCCAGCTGCCCTCCTGGATCCAGCCTGGCAGACCCAGAGGTACCTCTAGGAGGGCCAGGGCCTCATCTCAGCACCACAGGGGCACACAGAGCCCACGGGCAGCCTCACCACAGGCACACAGCCCACATAATGCACTTGATGGAGGCCTTCAAAGCAGCTGCCCGCTGGCCTGGGATGCCCAGTGCCACCAGCCATGGCTGCAGGGGTGGCCAGTGTCCCCAGCAGTGCCCCAGAGGCCAGAGCTGACCCTGACCCCCAGCCCAATGCCCAGCACAGCCCCTCTGTCCCAGGGTGCCCCTGCCCTGCACCAGCGCTCACCGTGCCGGGTGGGTGCAGTGCCCCACACCGCGGGGGCCGCAGGTCCTGCCATGGTCCCAGCTCCTCCGTGTCCCTGTCCCGGGGACTGTACGTGGCAGTGAACAGCAGGGACCAGCTCTGACGCCAGTGTCCATCCCGGGTCCTGGTCACACCACAGCGTCACCCATTTCCCCAGTCCCTAATCCCTTCCGGGATGAATCAGGTCCCAGGAAAACACCGAGGGACCGGTTGGGGCGCAGGTGCCCGCGGGCTGGGCGCTGCCTCGGGCTCTCGGGTGCATCCCGGAGCTGCCGCATCCGGCATCCCGACACGTGCGGGCGGCCGAGCCCCGCCAGCCCCGCTGCAAGCCCGGGCTGGCCCCGCAGCCCCTTCCCAGCCCTCCTGCGCCAGGTACCCGGCGGTGCCACCTGGGGAGGGGGTGAGGCCAGGGCTGCATCGCGACGGCTCGGTCGTGGGGCACACAGGGCTTGGACAGGGGTCAGGCAGGGACGTGGGGACACACAGGGACACACACGGAGCCCTGTCCCCCCGCTCCAGGGGAGTGAACAGGTAAGGACGGCACCGGGGAAGAGCCCCAGCGCCTCCCGCGCTGGCCCCGGCCCGAGCAGAGCCCCCAGTCCCGGTTCTCCCTGTCCCGGGATCTTCCAGGCTACTCCAGGAGGGCGGCCCGAGCCGTGCAGTGCGAGCGGACACCGGGAGAGGGACCCACCGCCCCGTCCGCGCCGCGCTCGGGGCTGGGAGGGAGGCGGGCGGTGGAGGAGACACCGGTGGGGACGATGGAGGGACCTGGGGGGTGATGGAGGGGACACATCGAGGGTGGACAAGGTCATCCGCAGAGACCCAGAGCCCCCGGCCCCCCTCCGTGTCCCCTGCTGCTGTGTCACAACCAGGACAGGGGTGGACAGGCGAGGCAGTATCCTGACAGCCCAAGTGACCTGTCCCCTGCCCAGGCCCTGCCGGGGGATCTGCTGGGCTGGGAAGCACGAGTGGGCACGTGGACACACGGCTGTGAGCACACAAACACACACAGAGGCTGTGCAGAGCCTCACACCTGCACACACTGCTGCTCAAGGCCTTCCAGCCCCAAATCCCCTGGCTGCAGGGCCCTGGGGAGGGGGGGGGTGCCTAAAGGGTCCCACCAGAGCAGCAAGAGCCCCTCCAGACACCCCAATTGTCCCCTGCCAGGCCACAGGGAGGTCTGAACAGGTCTGGAACAGGCGGCTGAGAGATCCTTGGGGTGTTTGTGAGTCACAGGGAAGCTCAGGTAAGGGCAGCTGCCCGGGGCACCCCCAGCCCTCGGGGTTGCACAAGCCCTGATGCAATTTCCTTGTCCCGAGTGGTTGTCTGTCCCCACAGGCAGGGGTTGCAGCAGGAAGAGCAGGAACCACAGGGGCAGGGCCACGGAGAGAAGCACCCAGGATTTGTATCTGCTCTCCCCTGCACAGGGAAGAATCCCTGCATCATCACCCCTGCAATCCCCCAGCCCTGACACAGCAACAACCGTGGGAGCCTCGGAAAGGCTGCTGGGGGCAGGTGGTCCAGCTGGGCAGGAGAGTGAAGGGAATTCCAGGCTGTGAACACACACCACTGTCCAGGGGCAGGGGAAACCACACTCCCATCCGGGCACAGAAGCCCACAGCTGGCTCACAGCACTGTCCCCTCTGTGTCACCATCCCACCAAGGTGCCTAATCACGGGAAGATGCATCCCAGTGCTGCTGCATTATCCCACCACGGAAGACACGGTGTGAGCAATCTTTCCTCCTGGGTCTGACCCTCAACACCCCACGTCTGAGCCCAGGGAGTGAAAACCCTCGGAAACCACTGGGAGAGGCTTGTGGGGGCAATGCTGGGACACAGGGAACTGGGACCAGCCCGTGAGAAACCCCTTCCTCAGCACCACCACAGGGTGCCAGACCCTGTATCCCCAACACACCCACCCAGCCCACAGCGCTCTGCACAAGTTGCTCCCCATTAAATGGGGCACAAATCCCCGGAGCAAAATACACCCAAAACCCAGGGGAGGGGGTGTGAGGAGCGGGAAGAAAACGCACGTGTGGTCATCAGGGCTTGTTTAATAACAAAACTCCAGCTATTGTAGAACAATATTCTCCAGCATCATTGTAATATACAATACGGGGAATGCTCTCAGCAATCTGAGAAGGAAGGATCCGGCCCACAGCACCCCTGCCCAGGCTGCGGGGGCACCCCCAGGGCAGCCCCGCCGGGGAGCCAGGGATGCAGGTGAGCCGCGGTGCTCGGGGACGGGGTCCCGGGAACGATGTCCGTGGTGGGACCGGGATCCCGGGGATGATGTCCGTGGAAGGTCCAGAGCGGTCTCAGCGGCAGAGGATCCGATCGGCAGCGGGAATGCACGGAGCCTGCGGGAAAGGGACACGAAGCGGCCGGTCAGTACCTGCCAGAGGGTGCCGGAGACGGAAAGGGGGCAGGAGGAAGGGACACCCCGGGAAGGAGAGGGCGCGGATCGGGGGAAGGAGATTGCAAGGTTCGAACGCCGGTGCTGCGGGTCCGAGCCGGTGCCGTGGGTCCGCACTCACCTCGGGGGAGTCCCCAGCGGCGGCGGGGCGGGGGGGCCCGCACTGCAGCTCCAGCTGCAGGTCCCAGATGTAGTCGATAACGTGCTGCAGCAGCTCCACCTTGGAGACCCGCCGGTGCCGCGGCAGCGTCGGCACCAGCGCCCGTAGCCGCGAGTAGCAGCCCTTCATATCGTACAGCAGCGCGGCGGCCGCCTGCTCCGCCGCCACCGGGGACACCCCCGGGCCTGGACCACAGCGGGCGGCCTCCCCGGGCCGCACGGCTTTCAGCGGGCCGCCGGCACCCGCGGGCAGCGGCGAAGGAGCGACAGCGGCGACCTTCATGGCGAGAGGCTGCGAGCGCGGCGGGCGGAACGGGGCGCGGCGGGCGGACGAGGAGCCCGCGCCCCGCCGCGCCACTTATAGAGCACCGCCGACGGGTGGGCGGGGCCACGGGGGAGCCTCGACCAATGGCAGCGCAGAAAAAGAGGGAGCAGCCCCGCCCACTCCATTCATGCGCCCCAAAGGGCAGCGTCTTAAAGGGGCAATGGCGGAGAGAGCGCCGTGACGGGCTGGGGCTGCGGGGCAGGGACGCCGGCGGTGCGGAGGCTACAGCGGTGCGGAGCTCCCGCCCTGCCCGCAGTTAACGCGGGTGCGTGCCCCGCGGGTTCCCGGTGTCGGGCTCCCCGCAGCCCCGCTCGCCCCTTGTCCCCTCCAGGCCCCCGGTGCCCCTCCGGGCGCTCGGGCCCCCCCGCACTCCCCGCGCCCCCCCCGTCTCCGCGGCGGCTCAGACCGTGAGACGCCAGGGTCGTGACGTCACCCATTCATAAAACCCCGCGCGCTGTCAGCGCGGCGCCGGGCGGGCGGTGCCCATGGCGACGGGGGCGGGGCGGGGACACACACCTGCAGCCCCTACGGGGGGCACCGGGACCCCCACGGAGACAGCGCGACCCCCACCGGGACACCCCACGGAGACACTGGCATCCTCTCGTGGATACGGGGCCACCGGGAACCAGGAATCACAGGAACCCCCGGGGAACATCTGCACTCACACGGGGCGCCGGGGTCCCACGGTGGCACAGGACCAGGGGCATCCCCACAGGGGACAGCTCCGCGCCCCCCGCCCCCAGTTCGGAGTTCTCCGTTCCCCTTCTCTCCCGGGGCCCAAACCCCCGCAGAGCTGCTCGGTGGCGGCGGCCGGGGCGGAGGGCGCCAGGTTCGGGTCCCCCCGAGGGACGGGCAGAGGGGTCGAGCGCTGGGTGCGTGGGGCGGCGCGGGGAGGGGGCTGCGAGCACGGTCCTGCCGGGGGGCGAAGCCCGTGGAGGTCCCGCCACTGTGCGAGGCAGTCGGTCCTTGCCCCGAAGGGTTTCTGGTCCGGGCTGTAATTAGCGTTACTGCTAATTACCCCGCACCTGCGGGGAGGGCCCCCGAGCGAGACCCCGGCACACCCCGAGCAGCACGAAATGGTGTGAGAGGGGAGGGAGGCAGGGAAAGCTGCAGCCCCAGACACTCCCGGCAGTGTGTACAGACACAGACACGCAGGGCGGGGTGCGTGTGCACCCAGACGTGCTTGCACACACAGTGTGTGGGGCACATACCCAAAAATGTGCACAGGAGCATTCACACGCACACACAAACCTGTGGAGACCAAACACAGCCACAAGGACACGCACACAACAGAGGCACACACGGATGGAGCGCATACAGGTACGCACACACACGTGTACATGCTCATGCACACACACCCTGCCTTGCACACCAACACGTGTGCACAAATGCCAGCACAGCTCTCCCAGCCTTTTATGGGGGTGGGCTGGGGGGGCAGACCCTGCCGCACATCCCAAGGCATTCAGGGAGCTGAAGGCCTCCCCTCTTCTTCCTCTTCTGGGGAGGGCAGCAATCCTGGAGAGCATGCATGAACTCCAACCCTGCCAGCCTGGCTGGGGGGAGCTGGATCCCCCTGTCCCTCCCTCTGTCCCTCCTCCCTGTGTCCCCAGCCTGGTGCGGTGGCGGTTCCCAGGGTGGGCACGGCGCTGGGGTCGCCCCCTCCATTCAGGGCTCGGCGGAGGGCCCGGTGCTGCCCGGTTCCCACCGCGGCTCTCAAAGCTGCTAATTAGCCCCCATCTGGCGGCAGTGGCCGGGCCGCGGCGGGAGGCCGGGGACATTGTGCACAGGAATGTCTTTCAGGGCCGCCGGCCGGCCGCCGCCACCGCCAGCTGCGCCGCCAACAATGCCAGGACGAGCCGGACCCCGCGCCCTGCCAGCCCTGCCACCGGCCACCCCGGGCGCGTGGGGACGTGGACGGATGTCGTGGATGGATGTCGTGGATGGATGTCGTGTCCGTGGTGCGTGCCATGGCACACAAGGCACGGCAGCCCTGGCACAGCCGCTCCAGCTGCCCCAGCCCACCGGATGCCCCCGAGAGCAGGACACCCTCACCCCACCCCTCTGCATGCTGGGGTGCCGGGGATGGGGTGCTGGGGTCAGGGCTGCCAGCGTGGCACGGGGACACCGCCTTGGCCACAGCTGGCCGCGGGGTCCTGGCCTGGCACGGCGAGCCGGCGGCGCAGCGGTGTTGTCCGGCAGAACACAGAGCTTCATTTCCATCTCAATTCTGGGAACGGGGCTCACGGCGCGGTAACAGCAGCCTCGGCCATATGGTGCTGGCGGGGCTCAGCCCGGCCGGGGGGGCAGCCGGGGGGCGGCTGCTTTGCGCGGAGCAGGGGTTGCCCGGCAGCCGAGCACATCAAAGCCCCCGGCCGCCCCCGCCCCGCCGGGACCACACAGGGCACGGCCGCGCCAGGCCGCCGAGAGGCAGAGGGGCTGCCTGTGATGGGGGAGTGGGGTACAGCCGGCACCCCAGGAGCGGCAGCACCCAGCTCTGCACTCTGGCATGCAGGGCTGGAAGGCAGCACGGACACCGCAGGTCGGGCTGGGCCCCCACCAGTGAGCAGGACCCCCAAACTGGCTGGGGTTGGGCTCCATCCAGATCCCCTCTCCCGGTGCCATCCGCAGGTCACCCCTGAGGCCATACAGAGCTTCCACCCCCCTGTGTCCGCACGACACTGCTGAGCCAGGCTTGCAGATGTGCCGGGGCCGCCGGCACAGCTGGAGCGGGGCCGAGGCCTGAGAAAGCCCCTGCGCATTCCCCTCCCGCCTTCTCCCTTCCCGTTCCCAGCTTCCATCCGCTGCAGCCCAGACCAGCTGGAGCCAGGCAGCCCTTCCTGGGATTTATTCCAGCTTCCTGCCCCTCCTCGCCGGCCGACCGGGGCTGGGGCTGCCTTGGGCTGCTTCCTCTCCCTGCTCGCAGCCGCCGGCCGGGCGCCACTGTCAGTACCCATCACCACACGGGACCCCAGCTCCCACCACCAGCACCCAGCACTCCATGGGACCCCAGTGCTCATCACCAGCACCCACCATCACAGCAAAGCACCCCCACCCTGCGTGGTAGAGCATGAGGTACAACTGCAGCACCCATCACCCATCATCACCCAGCTGCAACCCGGCTGTGCTGAGGAGGCTCCACAGGGCCCTAAAGATGAGCAGCCCTGGTGTTTCCCCCCTCACACCAGCACTCAAACATGAAACCACCCTCTTCTTGCCTGGTGTTTGCACCCTGTGCGCCACCAGCTCAGCCCATCCCACACCACCCTGGTGTTTCCCCCCTCACACCAGCACTCCTCAAACACGAAACCACCCTCCTCTTGCCTGGTGTTTGCACCCTGTGCACCACCAGCTCAGCCCATCTCACACCACTGCAATTCCTGGTGGGAGCTTGGCACAAGGAGCGTGTGCCCTTGAGCTCCCCTGGTCAACAGACATCTACACCACTGCCATGAGGTGCCATGGGTGAGTGGGTGGGTGAGGATCATCCCAAACCCCACATCTGCCGGCAGCAGAACAGGCAGCTTTGGCCCCTGCCCTCGCTGGGCGCAGTTAAGTGGACAGAGGTTTCCTGCCGGAGTCGGCACATCCATGTTTCCGCAGCCCCCACCGAGCCGGAGGGACCCTGCGGAGAGGGGAAAGTGGCCCAGCAGCGGCCCAGACACAGCGGAGCCGTGTGGCCTCGGCCCTGCCGGGACCGGAGGTGCCACAGGCCCAGGTGCAGCAGGCGAGCGAGCCGAGGAGCGCTGCAGCGCCGGCTCCACTGGCGGCTCCTCGCAGGGCCCAGCACACTTCCTTCCTCCTGGCCGGCCCCGGCTTATCGGCCAGGCAGGGTGAGGGGTGACCCTGCTCTCCCCTTCCCAGGCCTTCCGCTCCCTGCGGCCCTGGGAAAGCTCCCGGCCACGCTTCCACCACACCTACAGCCGGCAGGAGCTGCTCGGAGCCCTGCAGGGCAGCAGGGAGGCAGGAGGGTGATGCTGACATGGGGGTACCCCCTGTGCAGCCCCCAGCTTGCTCCTGCACTCTTGGGCCGCTGGAGGCTGCGTGGGGATGCAGCTCCTACCCCCGAAGCCAGGGAGGATACAGAGCTTCCCAGGATGCGGTGCCAGCCCCACAGCAAGGGATACACCAGGCTGGGGAGTGGGGTCCTGACTCAGGGTAGGGTCCTGCACCCCACGGCAGAGCTGAAGTCCTTCTCCACGGAACACTGGAGGCTGGTGAAATCACATCTGGAGTCTAGACTCAGTGACTCGGTGGGCTGGGCCTGGCGGCCGCGCTGTACCCAGACCCTGCTGCACACTGTTTGCTTAGCTGGAGGTATTTAATTGGAATTAAAGTGGCCCCTCTTGTTTTTGCGGACAGGGCTGTTGGAAAAGGAGCTGTAAGTCATAGAAAACATCTGTAGGAGCCTGCGAAGGGTCATTAGATGGCAGAACGCGAGGCGCCACTTTTAGTGCTCGCAGCCGGCGCAGGGAATAATGGTTCAATACGGCTTTTGTGGAGGAGCTGCCAAGCCAGCAAACACTTTCTATTTATTCTGGCAGTGGGCATGGCCGAAGGGATGCAGGATCCTCCACATGTGGGCCTCCAGGAGGGGTAGGGAGGACACTGCCAGTGCTGCAGGACACAGGGCAGCTGGTCCCAGTGGAAGCTGCGGTGGCCGTGGAAGCTGGAGCTGCCCCTGCCTGCAGCCCCTCCAGTCCCCATGCCTGCACCAGCATTCTCTGCCCATCCCAGCCCTAAAGGGTGCAGGATTGTGCCCGGCTCCCTGCGAGGAAGGGGGACAATCCATACTGTCCTCACCCTGCTTCAGGGCTGGGTTTGAGGTTACCCACTCCTACCCCTCCCATTCCTGCTTCCCTAGGCCATGGGGCGTTAGCCTCAGCTCACTGAGCACCCCAGCAGCTGAGGCAGAGCACATTCCCATCCTGTGGGGTTCCTGCATCCCAATCCCTGATCAGCCACCCTTCTCTAGGGCAAGATCCCAGCTCAAACCCACACAGGGCTCAGTGACTCCAGCCCTAAATCTGGGTACTACAGAGCAGGGGCCAGGCTGGGGGAAGGCCCAGTGCCAGAGGAGTGGGAGGGGGAAGGGGACGGTCACTTGGAAACAGCCAGACAATAGCCACCAGCTCCAGTGGGAGAAGGCAGGTGAGCTGATGCCAATCCCGGTTCTGGCTGGGCGGCTGAGCAGGGGCATGGCCACACCAGCACTCCTTCCTTCAATATGGTTTAATATGAGAGAAAGCAAATGCACAATACAAAATTTAAAAACCGGCATACATCGATACCCCACCTGGGTGGCTGCTCCGACACACACAACATGATGCTCTTGCACAATTGTTTCGTCATCTGTCACTTGCAAAGGGTCTTGAAGGGCCCCAGCCCAG